AAGAATTGATGCTTTTGAACTGTGGTGTTGGAGAAGACTCTTGAGAGTCCCTTGGACTGCAAGGAGATCCAACCAGTCAATCCTAAAGGAAAACAGTCCTGAATATTCATTGGAAGGACTGATGCTGAAGCTGAAGCTCCAATACTTTGGCCACCTGATGTGAAGAACTGACTCAATGGAAAAGATCCTGATGCTGGGAAAGATTGAAGGCGGGAGGAGAAGGGGATGATAGAGGATGAGATGGTTGAATGGCATCAATGACTCAATGGACATGGAGTTTGAACAAGCTCTAGGAGTTAGTGATAGACAGGGAGGCCTGGCATGCTCCAGACCATGGGGTCACAAAGAGTTGGACATAACTGAGGTACTGAACTGAACTTAATGGGCCAATAAAATAACTTGTGAGAAAATTATAGCCATAGCTTTCCTCAAACACTGAAAGGTAATTTTTAGAAATGATAATCCATAAAAGGAATTAGTCCATCTAAGATGTCAGGTTTTAAGTATTTAACTTTCTATCACTGACAATAAGCAGATTGATAAAAATCTAGAAACACTTTCTTTATCATTAAAGCCTTTTACTAAGTCTGATTAATCTTCGTTTCCTTAATACAGCCCTGATATAGCCAATGCTCAATCATTATTAAATTTCATGTGCTGAAATAGAAAAGTTTCATAATTCAAATGGCAATACAGATAATCCAGTCTTCATGTCCATCTATCCTTTGTAGTTTGTAAACATTAACATCAACTTGGATTATTTCTTAAGAGTTCCTAATTTTCACTGCATAGAAAAGTTCCCAAACTTCCAAAAAATGTGTAAGCTCTCAGCTGAAAGTCAACTTCTGAGTTCAACTCCTCTTGAAATAGATCAATTCCTATTACCTAAATCTTCTGATATAAAAACTTAAAGATGTGCAGGCTTCAAGAAATAGAGGGTAAGACACTGATATGAGGTCAGAAAGTTACCTACAGAACATGGTCTAACACTGGTGACTGCTGCACAAGCATCAGTCAACACACTTGAAAGGGCCGAGTCCAGTGTCAAGGCGGGGAATTCTTTTTTGTTTGTTTGTTTGTTTGTTTGGGAGGGAAACTCTTGCAGTAGCTACCCTAGTACATTTGGTTCTAAAACTGACTGCATTGCATTAGATTCCCAGAGCTGCCATTTCATCCTTAAAAATAGGTAATGCATTAATTAATATTTTATAAACTACTTTTAAATGATAAAAGCGACTTTAACTACTTTCAGTAGTAACCATCCTTTTATTTTAAAAATGTTAAGTTTATTACCTGCTGAATTCCCACTGCATAAGTTTTCAAAAAGAATTCAGAAAATTCAAAGTATTCTTTTGTGACATTTCCTGGGCTTCCGTATCTTAAAACACAAAGAGAAAATGTTTAAATATTGAGAATTTTGTAAACAAAACATGCCCATTAGTTTAAATACTTTTCGATAGATACATTCTACTGGGGCAGAAAACTAACACTTTCCCTTTTATTCACAAGCACCGAAGTAAAATTATGACAAGCAACACTTCGATTCCAGGCCATACTTAAAATTTCAGACAGAAATATCATATCTCCATCCTTTTTGACAGAGACTAGAAAGACCCAGAGAAGACCATTCACCTCATTATGATATCAAAGCCAATGATCACAGTGAAGCCTGCTTTAAAACAAGCGCAGGATAACTTTTTGCCCTCTAAAGAAAAATAATCAAATACCATACAGCATCAAGGGGACCTATTCAATTTTATTATATCCAATACTGAGATACTAACCACAGATGGTAAATCTAATAACCAGAATTACCGTTCAAAGAGACGAGCTACAATGTGTAGTGCCCACTTCTTACATTTCCACCAGACTAGTTCTGGTCTATCATCCTCATCAATCTGCAGAGTCTCCTAGGAGGACAAAATACCCAGATAAAATTCCTACAATGAAAGGGTTTGTGTGACTAACAAAGGCAGAATAAATGTTGATATAAATTAAGCAATATTAAATGTGAATTCAGATTGCCATACAAATACAAGTTCTTACTTTACAGATTGCTAGGTAGGAATTAAACAAGTAAAACTTCAACTAGTGTTATTGTTCACATTTATCTATCTTTAAAAGGCCAAAAAAAGTAGAAAACAAAATACAAAACATCACATCCCTCAAGGAAACTCTCTAGGATACCAGAAAAGTTCTATATCTTGATCTGGGAGACAGTAACACAAGTGTCAGTCTGTCAAAATTCACTGAACTGTTCATTAATTTCTGTGCATTAATGTGTATAAACTAAATCTCAACATAATTTGTCCCAAGATATAGACAAAGGAAGGAATATTGAGACATCTGGAGACAACATCTGGAGACAAGCTCAAAATTTTAAATATTTTATAATTTTTATAATTTTATATTTTTTAAATATTTTATATTTTAATATAATGTTTAATGTAATATATATTTAATATAATTTTATATATAATTTTTAAATGTTAATATATTTTAATTTAGTTAATCTGATTATTTGAGTTAATTTGATATATGAAATATAGTATCACATTTATTGCAGATAAAAATGAGACACCATCTTTTCACCTATCAAATTGGCAAACTCAGAATTTAACAAAACAGTATCAGTCACTGCTTATTAAAGTATAAGCCAATACACTCTTTCTGGAAAGCTGTTTTCAATATCTGTCAAAGTAGAAAATTAAGCCATTACTTTCTACTAACTTTTAACAGAATATAATCTATAAAAATACTGAATCACTATGTCAAACACCTGAAACTAATATAACACTGTGCATCAACTCTACTTCAATTAATTAATTCACTAATTAGCTAAAGATCTGTCAAAGCCTTAACACAGCAAGGAGGTTATCCAAACAAAATAATCATGTATGTGCATAGAAATCTAACTATATCCTTATAGTTAAACCTATAACAAGCTAAATATCTAGCAAATGAAGCATTAAGCAAAAATGTACCATACAAAAAAATTCAAAATCATACAAAAGATTTCTATGAAATTTTAAGTGAAAATTAATACCAAAACAGTACCCACTCCAGTATTCTTGCCTGGGAAATCCCATGGACAGAGAAGCCTGGTGGGCTACAGTCCATGGGGTCGGAAGAGTCAGACAGAACTGAGCACACATGCATGCACACAACTATCTATATATACCATTTTTACAAATAAAATATAATTGTTCCTCCTGACAGATCCCATTAATGCTTCTTTTTCTGTATACCTTTTTTAATCACTTTTTAATAAGATTTTGTCAGTATACCCTTTTTAATCACTTCTTCCTATAAAGTATTTTCTGTAGGAAAAAATATGTTGTATATGAATGCAGAGAAAAAAAGAGGAATGATTATCAAGTTTTAAAAATGGCTATCTATTTTTAGTAGGATTAAACAGTTATTTTATTAATTTTGTTTATCTGAATTTTCTATAGCTGAGTATGTATCATAAATTATTTTTGTTACAGTAATTTTTTTTTTTCCAAATAGCAGACTGGGATAATAATCAGTCTACCACAAACAACCCAAATCCAACTTTTCCCAATTCTTCTTAGAAACAGAAGCCCGTTCTTACAGGAGGAACAGTCCTGTCAATAATAGTTCGGAAGATCTCCATCCACGCTGTCATGGTTTGGTTATTCACCAGTTGAAGAGGCAATGCATACTGAAAACAAAGGACAACAATATCAGACAATAATTCCTCCCCTCTAAAAAATCAGCAACTTATCTACATAGAAAGGTTGAAATACATGGAACAGCTAACATGTGACCATGAAAACAGTAATTTCAGATGACTGAACCTAAAATTTAACTTAAAACAGCCCTACGTGTGTAAGTTAAATTTTTAAAAATCTAGAAAATATACATGCCATAAATTATTTCTCTGAGCTCCTCCTTTTTTTCAGCCATGCTGTCCATCACCCAGGATTTTAGTTCCCCAACTACGGATCAAACCCATGCCTCCTGCATTGGGAGCATGGAGTGTTAACCACTGGACCTCCAACGAAGTCCCTGGTATATTTTTAAGTAAAAAATAATAAAAATAATACAGAAAGAGGTCATTTATTCAGCATGAGACTCTAGATAAGTGATTTTTTAACATTTACCACTTTGGGTGTCAAATTTCATCTTTCCAGCTTTATTGAAATACAATCGATATATAATGCTATGTAAGTTTAAGGTACACAACATGATTATTTGATACACATATATATTGTTAAATTACTTTTATAACAATGTTAGTCAATACTTCCATTACCTCATATAATTATCTTTTTATTTTTGAAATGTAGTTCATTTAAAATATTATATTATTTTCAGGTATACAAGTAACTTCACTATTTTTATAGACTATATTCCATTTAAAGTTATTACAAAATAATGGCTATATTTCCATGTGCTGTACAATACATCCTTGTTACTCATTTATTTTATACATAGTAAATATCTCTTAATCCCATATGCATCTTGACCCTCCCCACTTCCCTCTCCTGTTAATCACTAGTTTATTCTCTGTATCTATGTATCTGTTTCTGTTTTGTTACATACACTTGTTTATTTTTTAGATTCCACACATAAGTGATAACAGTATTTGTCTTTCTTTGCCTGACATTTCACTAAGTGTAAAACACTCTTAGGTCCATCCACATTGTTGCAAATGGCAGAATTTCAATCTTTTTATGCCTGAGTAATATTCCATTGTATGTATATGCATGTGCATAAACATACAACATCTTCATTCATTCATCTATTGATGGACACTTAAGCTGCTTCACTATTCTTGCCTTGAGAACCCCATGAACACTATGAAAAGGCAAAATGATAGGATACCGAAAGAGGAACTCTCCAGGTCAGTAGGTGCCCAATATGCTAATGGAGATCAGTGGAGAAAAACTCCAGAAAGAATGAAGGGATGGAGCCAAAGCAAAAACAATACCCAGTTGTGGATGTGACTGGTGATAGAAGCAAGGTCCAATGCTGTAAAGAGCAATATTGCATAGGAACCTGGAATGTTAGGTCCCTGAATCAAGGCAAATTGGAAGTGGTCACACAGGAGATGGCAAGAGTGAACATTGACATTCTAGGTATCAGCGAACTAAAATGGACTGGAATGGGTGAATTTAACTCAGATGACCATTATATCT